TTTCTAAAAACCTTTACATTTCCTTTCAGAACCAAGTTCAACTGAGTAAAACTGAACTCAACCAATTAACTGTTCTTTAATTGCCATACTTGAAATACAAATCTAAAGAATAAATCTCCATTCAAAATGAGCTAGAGCACAAATAGGAGTTTTTTTAATGGAAGTAACAGACTTTCAAATATTCTTTCCATATTCATACTTGTGTAAACAAAGTAAATGACATTATAATCTTCCAAAACCTTCTGAAAAAAAGGGAACGGTGTGGCTTCTCGCTTCATTCTGTTCCTGATGTGGAACACTTAAGGTATCAAGGAAGATATTGTCTGCTGAAACCAACTCTAAAGTCTCATGAGGCGCATTTTTAGGGTGATGCTGGACTAGCTGTTTAACTTCTTGAACTACATGCAAAAAGTTTCATGTGGCTTCAGGCATTCAGATCTACCCAGCTCTCTCAGATGATCCTAAAGGGGCAGCAGTGATGGAGATATCAAATCCCTTTCTATTGTCTTTTCCTTTCCTTCTTGTATATAAACAAAACAAGTTTAAATAAAACAACTAGACACTGATTTCCCTAGGTAACATGCAGTGATTTCCAAATAAAGAAAAGAACAAAATGAACATACGCCGAAAATCTGACACCCAGGAAAAAAGACAAACATACTGAGTCTCAACATATGGACAGCCCTTTAATTGTAATCCTTACTAGCTCTTTAGCAAAGACTGCTTCTGAAATCAGTATTATTCAGGTATAGTCATCTAGTTTTTAAAGCTCATTAATGCAAATAACAGGTCTTTATTTCTGTTTGTAGCTCTGTTTGTAGTTCCGGTATTTTTATTCTTACTGTACCTTTAGGCAATTCTAACCTCAGACACTATTTCTTAAAGCAGTTGGAAGCCCTGGAATGACTAACACAGTAACAATGGATAGCATGGATAATAGAATCTCATACCTCTAATAAAGGAATGTGAAAGCTCCTTAAAAGCAAAACAGACTGTTAGACTACCACCACCCACCCCCACTCCCCCCCCCAAAACACTAAAAAAAACCCCATAACCCCAACCAAAACAAAACCCCAACCAAAACAAAACCAAACACAGAACACCCAAACAAAAAAATCCAAGCTTCTAGAAGAGACTAAATGACCTCAACAGCTTTACTTACTGCTTTTCTACCTTACACTAATTATATTAATTCTTCCCATCACCTCAAAACGAGGCATAGCCTACTTTAACGCATGGCTCTGCCTTTGGAAGTTAACTATTATTAGTTACCTATTAAAAGGGTCACTGTGTTTTTATCTGTTAGTGAGGTACACTGCAATCAACTTGAATCCTCAGCTGTACTTCAAGAGATTATTCAGTAAGCAAGTGCACAAAATTACATTTCAGCTAGAGCCATTCTACTAACTGGTTAAAAATTATTCATTTGTAACAGATTAGAGACAAGACTTGTTTTCTTGCAAGACCATTTTCACCAATCTAAACATTATAATGTCCTTAATATGATTTCCAAAACTATTTAGGTTTTTTATGAGATGTAATGAAAGATTTAAAAGCCCACATTTTAAAATTGAGAATGTACCTTCCCTGTCTCCCCGCCCCCC